AATTTTTAAAACAAAAAAGAAAGGAAGGAAGGAAGTGAGGGAGGGAGGAAAGCAATGTGAAAGAGAGAGAGAGAGAGAAGAAAAAAAAGAGACAGAGGTCATCTGCTGGTTCACTCCCCATTTGGCAGCAATAGCCGGGGCTGGGCCAGTTTAAAGCCAGCAGCCAGGAGCTCCATCTGGGTCTCCCACGTGGGTGGCAGGGGCCCAAGCACTTGAGCCATCTTCCACTGTTTTTCCAGGAGCATTAGCAGGGAGCTGGATTGGAAGCTAAATAGTTAGCACTTGAATGGGTGCTCCAATACTGGATGTCAGAGTTGCAGGCAGTGGCTTAACCTGCTGTGCCACAACAGAGGCTCCATAAATAGGTTTTCATGGGCCAGTGTTGTGGTATAGTGGGTAATGATGCCACCGTTGACATTGGTTCATGTCCCAGCTGCTCCATTTCCAATTAGCTGCCTGCTAATAGCCTGGGAAAGGCAGCATTATATGGTCCTAGTACTTGGTTTCCTGCAACCCATGTGGGAGACTAGATAAAATTCCTGGCTTTGGCCTGGCCCAGCCCTGCCCTGGCTATTACAGTCACTTGAGGAGTGAATCAGCAGATGGAAGACCTCCCTGCGATCCCTGCCCCTTTCTCTGTAACTCTTTCATATAAATTTTAAAAATCGTTTTAAAGGGGGGGGGGGTAAGAAAATCTTCAAAATGCAAAACCATCTTTGGAGATTGGGTATCTATTCTCTCTGAGCACTATAAGCATGACTAGGTAATGCTAATTGTGGCCAGAGAATAACACAGGAAAACCCCAAACCAAAGCCCTGCGAAAGAAATTTTGGCTGGTGCTGGCAGGAGAAAAAAAAAAATTTCCAGAGGAGGTAAAAGGAACATCTGTGTAGACTGTCTGAGGCTGTTTCTCATGTGTAAGAGGGGTAAGAGCCCTTGGCCCATCTGGTGAGAGTATGGTACTAAGGTTCATGATCACATTTGGTAAACAGTTCCTGAAACACCATCATATTTGTTGCAATACATTTTCCATTTTCTTTCCCACTGCATACTTTCCTGAGAATTACCACTTGTACTTTAATGGGTATGATGCCCAGGAAAAAAAGCATTTCGGGGCTGGTGTTGTGGCAATAGGGTAGGTAAGCCACTGCTTGGGACACCTGCATCCCATACTGGAGTACCCCTCTGAGTCCCAGTTACACTGTTTCTGCCCCAGTTCTCTGTTACTGTGTCTGGGAAGCAGCAGATGATGGCTCAAGCACTCAAGTCCCTGCGACCCATGTGGAAGACTCAGATGGGAGTTCCAGGCTCCTGGCTCAGCCTGGCCCAGCCCAAGCTGTTGTAGTGATCTGGGAGTGCACCTGTAGTGATCTCGGATGGAAGATCTCTCTGTCACTCTGCCTTTCAAATAAATAAATAAGTTTTTTCCCTTTTTAAAAATTGTTATTAATATAAAGAGAACAGATTTCATAGGTACAATTCTAAGATAACCATACTTCCTCAGCCTTTCTTTCTTCCTCCCTTACCTCCCTCCTCCCTTTTAGTTTTTTCAAAAACATAATTTCAATGTACTCTATAATGACAGGCTAAATGTACCACTAACCATAATATTCAACAAAAACAGAAAGAAAACAGTTCCACAGGAGTATAAACAAGGGCTAAGAACAACAATCAAATCACAAGATCCCTTTTTCATTCCTATCTATTTTTTGTATTCCATATTAACTACTACATATCAGAGAAAACATGGGGTTTCTGTCTTTTGGGGACTGGCTTATTTCACTAAGCATAAAAACAAAATTATTCTTCTCAGTCAACAAGATCTAATAAACATACCCATGGGAAATAAAACTTGACTAAAAACAAAACATTAAAGACTTGTCCGTATAGCAAAATATCTAATATTAGGCTGGTGTGCACATTTACGTATCTTAAATACTATATTTTTCTTGGAAAAATCTTTTTTCAATATTTTATTTTTAAAGTTAACATTGTTATTATTTTTAAAGATTTATTTATTTATCAAGAGGCAGAATTACAGAGAGAAAGATCTTCCAACTGCTGGTTCACTTCCCAAATGGCTGCAACAGCCAGAGTTAGGCTGATCCAAAGTCAGGAGTCAGGAGCTTCTTCTGGGTCTTCCACATGGGTGCAGAGGCCCAAGGACTTGGACATCTACTGCTGCTTTCCCAGGCCATTAGCAGGGAACTGGATCAGAAGTGGAGCACCTGGGACTTGAACTGGTAAGCACATGAGATGCTAGTGCCACAGACAGAGGCTTAGCCTACTACGCCAGAGCACTGACCCCTATTTTCAGTATTTTAAAATAATATTCAAGATGATCAGAAAATTCAGACCAGCTAGTGTGTGACAGCACTGTGTCAGGAGCTGGTATGTAACAATCACTGCGTCACTTACTTCATTGCTCTCATTATATAAGAAAGTAGTTGATGGGCCTTGGCTCTGTGGCACAGCAAGTTAAAGACCTGGCCTGCAGCGCAGGCATCACATTGGTGCTGGTTTAAGACCTGGTTGTTTCACTCCAGATCCAGCTCCCTGCTATGGCCTGGGAAAGCAGCAGCAGATGGCCCAAGTCCTTGGGCCCCTGCACCCAAGTGGAAGACCCAGAAGAAGCTCCTGGCTCCTGGCTTCAGATCAGCTCAGCTCTGGAAATTGCGTTCATTTGAGGAGTGAACCAGCAGATGGAAGACACCCCCCCTCGCCCTCTGGCTCTACCTCTCTAAGTAACTCTTTCAAATAAATAAAATAAATCTTAAAAAGAAAAAAAAAAAAAAAAAAGAAGGTAGTTGATATGGCAAGGATGAAAGGGAATTAAGAGGAAGGGTGTGACTGAGGAATGGGATGAGGGGTGATGTTCAAGGGAGAGGGTCTTGGAGATGAGCATGAGTTAGCAATGACCAGAGAGGAGGAGAGCGCACTGCAAACAGGTATAAAGGCTCAGAGGAAAACAAGTAGGGAACTAAGATGAACACAATGGTGGTGGTGCGATGGCTGAGGGAGAAGTAGTGTAAAGGTGATTGCAGGGGTCATGTGGCACCTGAAAGCTCATGGTAAGAAATGTGGATTTGGGGGTCAGTGCTGTGGTATGGTAGACTAGGCCTCCAACTGCGGTTGCCGGCATCCCGTAAGGGCGCCAGTTCGTCTCCTGGTTACTCCTCTTCCAATCCAGCTCTCTGTTGTGGTCTGGAAAAGTAGTGGAAGATGGTCCAAGTGTTTGGGCCCCTGCGCCCAAGTGGGAGACCCAGAAGAAGCTTCTGGCTCCTGGCTTCAGATCAGCCTAGCTCCGGCTGTTGCAGTCATTTGGGGAGTGAACCAGCAGAAGGAAGACCTGTCTCTCTGTCTTTCCCTCTCTGTGTCTGTGGCTCTATCTTCTCAAATAAATAAATAAATAAATCTTAAAAAAAAAATTAAAAAAAAAAAAAACAGAAATGTGGATTTGGGGGCCAGTATTGTGGCATAAAAGGTGAAGACTACACCTGTGCTGCCGGCATCCCATATGGGTGCCAGTTCATGTCCAGTTACTCTACTTCTGATCTAGCTCCCTGCCAGTAGCCTGGGAAAAGCAGCACAGGGCAATTCAAGTGTCTAGGCCCCTGCCATCCACATGGGAGACTTGGATGAAGCTTCTGGCTTTGGCCTGGTCTGGTCCTGGTCATTGCAACCATCTGGAAAGTGAGCCAGTGGATGGAAGATCGATCGATCGTTGATCTCTCTCTCTCTCTCTCTCTCTCTCTCTGTAACTCTTTAAGATAAATAAATAAATCTTTGTTTAAAAAATGTGGATTTGACTCTCAAAGCATAGAAAGCCATGAAAGACTTAAAGATGGAAACTGACATCATCAAATTTATATTTTTAAAAATCATTCTGGCCTTACTTTGGATAAAAGACTACAGAGGGGACAAGAATGAGACTATTTTAGTAATCTAAGCTACAGCTAATGTTGCTTGGGACAGGGGTTGGAGGGTAGCAGCAGGCCTGGAGAAACATGCATTTTGAAGGCCTGGGAGAAGGCAGGCCTGTGCCATGATTTCAGAAAGGCTTGGGCAAGATGGTAAGTCACTCACAGAGATGGGCAGGCTGAGGTCATGGGAACAGATGTAGGTATAAAAGCAGGTAAAGGTTGTGGGGAAACAAACTGTAGGGAAATGATGCAGCTGGCTTCTAGCAGGGCAGTGTCCACTGGACGTCTTTTACAGTGAAACTTAACATGAAAACTAGTTAGCTGTATTGCCCAACTTCTCCTCAGGAATGTCTGGCTGTTCTGGTACAGACTCAGAGGCTAAAATGAGTTCATCCACAGGTGGAGGTATGCCAAGGAATGAAATGGAAGAAGGCAGCGGAGGTGCACAGACCCTGTCTACCTTCACAAGTCAGGGAAGAAAGGAGACAACGGTAGCATAAAGTAAATTCAACAAAAATTAGGGGCCAGGGCTGTGGCATAGTGTGTAAAGCTGCCACCTGCAGTGCCGGCATCCCATATGGACGCCGGTTCTAGTTCAGGCTGCTTCACTTCCAATCCAGCTCTCTGCTATGGCCTGAGAAAGCAGTAGAAGATGGCCGAAGTCCTTGGTCCCTGCACCCGCATAGGAAGACCTGGAGGAAGCTCCTGGCTCCTGGCTTTGAATCAGCACAGCTCCAGCTGTTGCAACCAAATGGAGAGTAAACCAGTGGATGGAAGACCTCTCTCCCTTTCTACCTCTCCTTCTCTCAGTGTAACTCTAACTTTCAAATAAATAAATTAATCTTTTAAAAAATTCAATAAAAAATAACAATCATCTCCATATGACCCAAAATACAGTAAAAAAAGACTATTCATCTACCGATCACCTAACAGACAGTTGTTTAAAGCAGTATCCAAAAACTACAATGCAGACAAATTGATTAATTTTAAGGCAAATTTTCCTTTTCTTGTAACTACTATAAAATTAAGCTATCCTACAGTAACATTTCCAAGCAGAATGAGTAAAAAAATCCTTACCTCATGATTATAATCCAGGATTCCTTTTAAAATTTTCTTTAAATTGCTTATCTGTTTAAAGAGAGAGAAAACAACTGAGTAAGAGATACAAATACAATTTAACATAAGAAATTTATGAGCCAACCAATCACTCTATATGAAGTATACTAAAGTTGAATAAAACTCATCTGAAAATCAAATACCCAAAATACTCTGAAATCAAAATTTTTTTAAATTTCAATTATTTGAGAGGCAGAGAAAGGAAAGAAGAAAGTGAGAGAGAGAGATCAATCTCCCATCCAATGATTCACTACCCAAATGTCCCAAATGGCTGGGATTGGGCTGAAGCAGAAGGTGGGAGTCAGGAACTCAATTTGGGTTCCCTACGTGGGTAGCAAGGACCAATACTATCACCTGTTATCTCTCAGTGTCTGCATTAGCGGGAAGCTGGAATCAGGAGTAGAGCCAGGACTTGAATCCAGGCACTACATCTTAATCTTTACACCAAATACCTATTCCTTAAAATCTTTCAAACAAAAGTTTATTGGAAAGACATAGTAACAGAGAAAGGGGGAAACACACATACATACACATACACACGGTCATCATCTAGTGGTCCACTCCCCAAGTGCCTAAAACAACCAGAGCTGGGCCAGGCCAATGCCAGGTGCCCAGAACTCCATCAGGGTCTCCCACATAGGGGCAAGGATCCAGGTACTTGGGTCCTCATCTACTGTTTCCCAAGTGTATTTGTAGGAGGTTGAATTGGAAACAAAGGAGTTATTCGATATGGGATGCAGGTGTCCCAAGCACTGGCTTAACCCACTGGCCACGATGCCTGCCCCAAGATCAAGTTGGCTCTCAAAAAGTTTGATTTCAAATTTGAAGTGCTCAATCTGTATTTGAAGAGGTCCTTGAACAGAAAAAGCAGAGCCTGGAGCTATTAAGTAAGAGTCTCTGCGAGGGCTGGTGCTGTGGAAGTGGGGGTAAATCCCGGCTGCTCCACTTCTGACCCAGCTCCCGCTAACGTGCCCAGGCAAGCAGCAAAGGATGACCCCTGTGGGCTCCTGAACCCACATGGGAAACCCGGAAGCTCCTGTCTTCGGATGGGCCCAGCTCTGGCTATTGTGGCTATTTGGGGAGTGACCCAGAGGAAAGAAGATCTAAAAAAAAAAAGTCACTGCAGTACAATCCAGTGGCAAAACATGGGAGAAAATAAACTAAAACTCTTGTGTATTTATTTTTTAAAAATGCATTAATAAAATTAATATACTTGAAAAACTGGGCTACACAATGAATCGTGTATGGTGTTCATTTTTCTCATATTTTAACATCTGAGTCTTATGAATCAATATAATTTAAAACGGCAGTTTTCCTCCATCACAGAAAGCTTTTTATTTCAACTTTAATCAGTGGCATCATAAAACAGAAGAAGTGTAACACAGGGTAAAACAAGAACACTAGAAATTTCAGCCTTGATATCATTCTCTATATCACTACCACTGCCACAGTCAAATGAAGATATGTGGAGGTTTCTTTGTGTGCACAGGGGGACGTGCAGCTCCCTCTCTGCTTAACAGTAAGTAGCACTGCTTTAAACATCCATGAATCATCATAAACATCTTACAACATTAAAAGGTAATCATTTCAATAGCCTGTTCTTGAAAGATTGCTTAAAAATTAAAACAGTGCCATTAGAAAGTTTCCATTTGGGATTGGCACTTGGTACAGCTGTGGCTTGGGGTGTCAACACCCCACATAGGATTGCCTGGGTTTGTGACCCAGCTCTGCTTCAGACTCCAGTTTCCTGCTAATGCACACCTCAGGAGACAGCAAGAGACAGTGCAGACAGCTGAGTCCCTGCCACCTGTGAGAGACCAACACTGAGTTCCAGCCTTCTGGCTTCAGCCTGGCCAGCCCCCGATGTTGTGGGCATTTGGGGGAGTAAGCCAGAGAACGGGAGATCTCTCTTTCTCTTTCAAACAAAAAGTTTCCATTCACTAACAATTTGAAAAAAAAAAAAAAAAAGGAATTATATTTGACAGACCTAAAACCTAACCAGTCAATACTTCTTATCGAACAGGTATCTTAGAGGAAACATAGAGACAAACCAAGTTTAGCATTTAAAGTCCATGTAGGAGACTAGGATGGAGCTCTGGACTGCTTTTCGGCCTAGATCAGCTCCAGGTGTTGTGGCCATTTGAGGAGTGAACCAAGGGATGGAAGATCTCTCTATCACTCTGCCTTTCAAATAAAAATAAGAAAACAATTCCTTTAAAAAGTCAACTAACAAATGATAGGGACACAGAACAGCAGGGGTAGTGTGGCTGCTGCTCCAAAGGCAGCACCTGTGGTGATGAATCAGTTCTGCCTCTTCATTGTGGTGATGTTATAGGAAGCCACAATTAAGACAGCATTTCACAAAGCACAGGACACAAAACAGTGCAGTAAGACTGAAATCAGAATGCAATGTGAACTGTGCCGATGTCCGTTCCCTAGTTTTGACACTGTATAACAGTTACACAAGATGTTACCACATGGGTGAAGGGCACACAGAACCTCTCTCTACATTTTTTTCTTTTGGTTTGCAACTCCCTGTGAACCTGTAGTTTAAAACATAAAGAAATAACTTACTAGGTTGCAACCACCATTTTTAAAAGTATAATGAAAACATTACTGTATAAATGGTAAAAAGGGAGTTTCAAAAATACTGAAACATAAGGTTACTAAGAAGGAAATGAGAGGCTGGCACTGTGGCACAGTAGGCTAAGCTTCCTCCTACAGCACTGGCACCCCATAATGGGCACCAGTTTGACACCTGGCTGCTCCACATCCGATCCAGCTCTCTGTTATGGCCTGGGAAAGCAGTGGAAGATGGCACCAGGGCTTGGGCCCCTGCACCCACGTGGGAGACCCAGAAGAAGCTCCTGGCTCCCAGCTTTGGATCTGTCCAGCTCCGGCCATTGCGGCCATTTTGGGAGTGAACCAGGGGATACAAGATCTGTCTCTCTGCCTCTGCCTCTAACTCTGCCTTTCAAATAAATAAATAAATCTTTAAATAAAAATAAGGAAATCAAAATGGTTTATCGTCTCAGTGTTTTGTTATTCTAAGTACTGGACATACTAACTTTATTTCTGTGAGATACACCCTGCTACCATCTTCATGGCCCCAAAGTCCATGCCTGCATCATCACGCTTTACTGACTTACATTCTGTCACATCAAGATGAGAAACTTCAGGTACTGCTAAGCTTCAATTCTGTGTTATATCACCATAGGTCACCTGAATTTCTAAAGCTTATTGGAGACATCAGACTTTAAAAAAATCAATACATATTATATACACACAGATCTCTTAAACAGATGGAAAAATAAAAATACCTTTAGCCTCCAATTATCTCCTACTTCGGTTTTGATTCTGTTTAGCCAGTTTTCATCAAAATATGCGGGATCTCTGCAAATAAGGAAAAGCTAATATATTAAGGTCATGTAGCTAGCAAGCTAAGAAAAACCCAAAAAACAAAGAAAACTGAATCTCAATCCATATCATCACTTACCTGAACCATAAAAATGTATTTGCCACATATCAGCCACTATAAAACTAAGTGCATGCTATTACAGATTTATCAAAACTTGACTGTTATTTTATAAAAATATGCATTTTATCACAAACTAAAAGGCAAAAAATGGTAATTTACATTTATTTTAAGAACAAGTTATAGATAAGTACATTAAACTAGAATTAATTATAGATAACACATGTATATTTAAAAAGTCAAAACCAACAACATGTTTTTAAATAGACAAAACAAATATATCACGGTAGGAAAGTGAGTTTTTCAGTTATTATTTTAATGACTTCACTTACCAGAAAGGTCACCAATAACATCATTGAATTCCAATTTTTTCAAACATTACAATTCTAATTTTTTCAAACCTATTTCCTCAGATGTAGTACTAGGCACCAAAGTTGGACACAATTTCTGTTTGCAAAAGGCTTAAAATCTAAGATAACTATGGTGTTAGCAAACATCAAAACAAGGATAGAATCTGAACTTAAATATTTTTCCTGGGAAAACCTCCTATGTTTCTCAATAAACACTAGGTAGTAAAGGAAAAAAAAAACTTTAAAAAATAAACCAAATTTTAAAGACTAAGATATTAAATGATCTGTTTGAGACCATAATGGAACTCCAGTGCTGTCCTACTCCACAATTCCTAAGTCCAAGGTCAGTCAACTGGTCTTTTTTAAAGATTTATTTATTTATTTGAGAGGCAGAGTTAAAGACAGAGAGACAGACAGACAGAGATCTTCCACTCACTGATTCACTCCCCAAATGGCCACAGCTGGACCAGGCTGAAGCTAAGAGCCAAGAGCTTCTTACAGGTCACCCATGCACATGCAGGGGCCCAAGCACTCAGGCCATTCTCCACTGCTTTCCCAGGTGCATTAGCAGAAAGCCGGAACAGAAATGGAATTTGAACTGGTACCCAAATGGGATGCCAGCACTGCAGACAGTGGCTTAACCCACTACACCACAGCACCAGCCCCGAAGGTCTTTCCATAGCACCACAACTGTCTTTATTCAACCCGAAACAGAACACAGTGAAACAGATGTGTTTGAGAAAACTAGATCTCATCTATCACTCAACCTAATACATACAATCAGTACTATGCTTTATTCAAATTAGTTTTGAATGAAGCTGATTTAAATGTTACTTAGAATTTTTAGCTTTTATTATGAAAAGGAAAATGTACAGCTAATAACTGTATAAGAAAGAACAGCTACAACGAAGTTGCCTTTTTAGAAATCTGTTGGGACGACTTTTGATGCCTGTGTTATGTCACCTGATAACATACTAACTTTACTGTCTCTGTGTCAACTTAAAAACAGCTTTATTAAGATGTAATATAATTTACCCATTACAATGCATTTTAGCATACAGTACTCACAGAACTACACAACAGTCATACAATCTAATCTCAGAGAATTCCCATCTTCCCAAAAGCAAACTATGTATCCATTAACTGTCCCTCCCATTTTCTCCTCTAGTTCTCGGAAACCACTAATCTACTTTCTGTCTATAGATCTGCCTATTCTGGATGCTTTATAGAAATGAAATCAAACATATGTGGTCTCTTTGGCTTCTTTCACATAGCACATTTTTAAGGTTTATCCATACTGTAGCACATATTAGCACTTCATTCTTTTCTGTGGCTGAACAGTATTCCACTTACAGATATATAGTCTTGCACCCCATAATGAAATACTGATCACATAAATGATAGTGGTCCCTCAAGAAGTAAATCAGCTGGTAACTCTGGAGCCATTATAAGTTGTGTGAACACTATGTTCACACAATGATGCCATCACACAGAAACGCCATTTCTTAGAAAGTATTTCCATTGTTAAGCAGTGCGTGAGTATATGACATTTTGTTTATCCATTCATCAACTGATGTACATTTGAGTTGTTTCCACATTTTGGCTATTATGAACAATGATGCTTCCTTTTTTTATGTGATCCTTGATTAATTTTTTAAAGATTTATCACCTTATTTGAAAGACAGTTACAGAGAGGCAGAGACTGACAGAGGTCTTCCATCCACTGGTCCACGCCCCAAATGGCTGCAATGGCCAGAGCTGTGCTGATCTAAAGCCAGGACCCAGGAGCCTCCTCCAGATCCCCAACATGGGTGCAGGGGCCCAAGGACTCAGACCATCTTCTACTAATTTCCCAGGCCATAGAAGACAGCTGGATCGGAAGCAGAGTAGCCAGGACTCAAACTGGCACCCATATGGGATGCCTGCACTGCAGGCGGTGGCTTTACCAGCTACACCACAGCGCCGGCCCCATGATGCTTCTTAAACACTCCTATACCAGCTTCTGTCTATACTGTCGCTCCCCCTCTTCATGGAGGAACGACACAGGACCCTGCGCTGTTCTTTTGTCTGCCCGGCCTTCCCCGGGTTTGCTGCTGGTTCTTCCCGGGTTGGCTACTATCCCTTCCACCTCCGTGGAAGGGCAGTTCCCCCTGGCCACATTCCCCACTTCCGCAGGGGAGCGGCACACCGCCGGCCGGCTCTCTCGGGGGCTGCACAGGTGTTCCTTCAGATGTTCCCCTTAGATGTTCCTGGTGCATGCCGTCTCTCTCCTCCTTTATAGTCCTCCTCTGCCAATCCCAACTCGGCTGCCCACACGCTGAGCACGCTGAGCACGCTGCTCTCCTCCAATCAGGAGCAAGTCCTACAGTTTATTGGCTAAACTGGAGGCAGCTGTGTGGAAGCTGTTTTCTCTCTCCCAGCCGCATTTTGTGGGGAGAGCAGATGCATAGAATAAGTCTTAATTCCAGTAACAGTATAGTCCGAGTTGCTCCCCACATATACGTGTGTGTTTCATTTGGGTACGAGCCTAGGAGTGGGACTACTGAGTCCCATCGTAACTCTATGTTTAGCATCTGAAGCACAGCCAAATTGTTTTCCAAAAGCAGTTGCATCATCTGGCATTCCTGCTGGCAATGTACGTGGGTTCCAATTTCTCCAAACTTTTGCCAATACTTGTAATTATTTGTCTTTTTAGTTACAGCAATCCTAGTGCATTTGAAATGGTATCTCCCTGTGGTTTAGATTTGCAGTTTTCTAATGCCTAAGGATGCTAAGCATCTATTCATGTGATTACTGATCATCTGTGTGTATCCTTTTTGGAAAAATATCAGTTCAGATTATTTGCCCATTGAAAAATTTCTTATGAAACCTTAGGAGTTTTGTTGCTAATTTTATTTTAATATTCAGGACAAAAAGACATACAATGTGTAAATATTGTCTCACATTCTGATCTTTTCACTTTCTTTGTGGCATATATTGCATACATATATTTATTTTTAAAATATTTTATTTGAGAGAGGCAAAGACAGAGTGAATGAGCCAGCTCTCTCATCTAGTGGTTCACTCTCCAAATGCCCTCAAGGGCTGGGGTAAAAGCTACAAGCTGGAAACACAATCCAGTCTTGTACTTGGGTGGCAGGTGAGCCATCACTACTGCCTCCCAGGGTTTGCATTGGCAGGAAACTGTCCCCTGGAGCTAGAGGTAGGAATTAATTCATGTGCTCCAATATTAGGCCAAATACCTACTCCCAAAGGTTTTTTTTTTTATCTTTATTTTTAAGATTTGTTTATTTATTTGAAAGTCAGAGTTACACAGAGAAGGAGAGGCAGAGAGAGAGAGAGAGAGAGGGAGGGAGGGAGGCAGGGAGGGAAGGGTCTTCCATCCGCTGGTTCACTCCCCAGTTGGCCGCCAACGGCTGGAGCTGCGCCGATCCAAAGCCAGGAGCCAGGAGTTTCCTCCAGGTCTCCCACGTGGGTGCATCTTCTACTGCTTTCCCAGGCCATGGCAGAGAGCTGGATTGGAAGTGGAGCAGCCGGGACTCAAACCAGTGCCCATATGGGATGTTGGCAATGCAGGTTACCCACTACGCAACAGTGTGGGGCCCGAAGGTTTTCAATTTTGATTAAGTTCAATGTATCTATTTTGTACGGTGGTGTCATATCTAAGTCACAAAGATTTACTCCTATATTTTCTTTTACCAGTCTTACCTAGTTTTACATGTGGGTCTTCTATGTGGGTCTCTGATCAATGTGTACTTAGTAGGAAGAGCGCTGGCTTCACTGTATGCATGTGGCTAGTCACACTCATCTATTTTTGTGTCAGGTTTAATTTAGTGTTTTTAGCATAGAATCTTAACGATAACAACAAAACTTACAACAAAAATTAAAAAAAATAATAAAACAAAAAAATAGATGAGGTTCCTTTGTTAAAAGAAACCAATCTGAACAAACTTAGACAAAAAGGGCGGCTTACCAAAAGATCACTGAGGGACAATATGGTACTAAGAGAGTTGGGTCTCACAAAGCACTGCAGTAAGGGTGCAGACAGTGCTCATCTCCTGACATTACTCCATTTCTTTCTGTGCATCTACACCATTATTCTCTCTATAAACCAACTTTTTTCTGTTTCTTCCATACACAATTGGTTACATCCACGTTCCATGTCTTTATCATTTCGGTCAACCAATTAAAGAGTCATTTGAGTCCAAATTTTAAAACCCAAGAAAAGGGGCTGGCGCTGTGGCATAGCAGGTAAAGCTGCAGCCTGCAGTGCCAGCATTCTGTATGGGTGCCAGTTCGAGCCCCAGTTGCTGCACTTCTGATCCAGCTCTCTGCCATGGCCTGGGAAAGCAGCAGAAGATGGCCCAACAAAGGTCTTAAACAGACATTTTTCAAAAGAGGAAATTCAAACAGCCAACAAATACATGAAAAGTGCTAAGGATCACTAGCCATCAGGGAAATACAAATTAAAACCACAATGAGGTTTACCTCACTCCAGTTAGAATGGCTTTCATACAGAAATCAACAAACAAATGCTGGTGAGGAAATAGGGAAAAAGGTACCCTAAT